CATCATCATCATCATCATCATCATCATCATCATCATCATCATCATCATCATCATCATCATCATCATCTTCCACTGGGCCCAGGGAATGGGATATACCGCAAGAGATGTTGAGCAAAAATGCCACGCGAACCGCCGAACCGCCGCGGAACCGGCACCGAATCCATGACGACCCCCCAACAAAACGGAATTTCGACCGGCCGCTTTTCTGCCGCTTTTTGCCCGGTGAAAACACATCGCCGAGGTCGCAACATCGCCGAGCAGCGGCGGGTGGCCAATGAGGCCTTCAATTTGTTGGAGGCGCCAGCTGCGGACGGGCTGGGTGTTGTTGTTGTTGTTGTTGTTGGAATCATTGTAACACTGGACCACATGGAAGAACCAGGGAGAACATTTGTGAACATTCTGTCAGGCTGGCGTTGGCAGAGGAAACTAGTCCTTCGCATCATTTCCTAAAAGGGCCTGTCATCCGATGCCCTTTACGAGTAGCATTTGGAGCATTTCTGGCTACAAATACTTGGAATATCTTGGAATATGGACAAACGTCGTCAATGCGCTGAACCAATTGTGTTTTTTTTCCCACATGGGCCGCGCTGAGCAACTTAGAACAGAAGCCCAGTGCTGAAGTGGCCATCCCTCAGAAGCCCACTACATCCCGCTACCAGTCACATAAGCTTCATGACCAGTTCGAAGCGATGGCAGGAGTGTCACATCAACATCACCCGAGAGGTCTTTCAAGCATGGTTGAAGGCGCCTTGGCCCGCCCATGATGAGGGCCGGCCGCATGCGTCCGGCTTGGTGAGGGCTCAGGAGGGCCCTGGGCTTGTTCGGTTGGTTGTAGGCATCTCAAGATTTGTCATTGAAGCTCCTGAACTTGCAAAAGGACGTGGCTTTTAGATGAAAGTTGTCTTTGAAGGGGCCATGCCATCCACTTCCATGATTATTATGATTATTTATTTCAAGAAGTGTACTTGCCGACCACCCATTGAAAGATCTCCCAGAACAGCACCCCCAAAAGCACATGTGGAATCGTGTGGAAGGCCGTAGCGGGAGCCTGTTCATTTGTTCATGCCAGTTTTCTTGGCGTGTTCACTCCTTTCCAAACGCTTGATGATGATCTGCGCACCTGGTTCTAACTACTTGCTTCATTTGTGGACACATGTTCTCATAGTTATTGTGTAAAGTGTGTAGCTTCACTGGGCCATGGCCCATGGCCCATGACTGCGAGGTCAGAGGTCTAAAGGCACAAGACCGGCTCCACGACTCGTGGCCCCACCCGACCCACACCACGCCTCTGTGCGGCCTTGGATCCACCATGACCGAGGATCCGGAATTCGTGAAGGTTCTCGAAGATGCGGACGTGGATATCTCCAACAAGTGCCCTGGGCAGATGGTCCGACCCCCGCGGTGGCTTTGGCCGGTCCCAGCCGTTTGGAGGTGGCCGGTCCACCCCAAAAAGGAGACCTTGGAACATCTATATAGAGCCACTAATTAGTTGCCCCCCCCTTGAAGCAATTACGGAAGTGGAGTTCACCAGCTGTTTGTAGTTCGGAAAGGGTCCTCCGAGTCTTCGGGGCCATGCCATAGAATCTCTCCCGAGCATTTCAGGGAGTGTGCTAAGCTGCTATCCAGAACGGAGGCATTTGTTCAGAGTTTGGGGTCCAACCAGGACCCGCTTCAGGCCGCATTCGTGCGTCGTGTTTACGGCGCCGCCTGGGCGGCCTGCGACCTCACCAGTCAAAGCTAAGCTTTCCAAGCTCGAGAGCAATATAGAATGTCATAGAATGTATATAATTAGTAATGTAGAAGGTCTTCTTCTTGCAGTCTAACTTTGTGACACATCCATGAGGGTTGTTGGAAAATCCGTCCAATAGAAACCGGACACCCCCTTTTGCGCAACTGATGAGACAAGCGAGCCTTGCGTGACCTCAAGGGATCTCAAGGGCATTTCAGACTCAGGATGCCCAAAAACGGATGCGTTTTTGTGGGTCTGTTTTGGGGGGTTCTATAACCTAACCAGGGTCACATGGTGAAGCGCATGGCCTCACTTCCCAGCTGCACCTCAAACGAGTTCAGGTTCGAGCTCTTCAACATCCTCGACGTGGAGCCTTGAATCTCCAACCTGCCGCGGCAGGTCGTCTGTGATGTTCTTCGCATTTGGCGCAGCGAAGGGTTCTCGTGGGAGCCATTGTTTCGGTGACGTTGCTTCCAGGGTTGTGCACCACCGTGGCGGCCGTTGGCATGTGATCGATAAGGCCCTGCCGTTAGGCCGTTGGGGGAAGAGTTTGGAGGCCTTGGATGGAAGCATGAAGTGTCAGATTCGTGTGACATGGCGTCGGGTGTGCCATTAGGCTTGGCGTTCGACAGGTGGCCTTCAGGAGGTGTCAAATGTCGCTGTGCCACAGGGATTTGCTCTTGAAGCACTTGCCTCGAAGCTACACGTCTCAGGTAAAGTTGCGGTTTGGCGGGGTCTGGGTGAAGCAGCAATGTGTAGTTTTTTGGTAAAAAAGTGGCATCAGACAAGGTTGCCCGCTCAGTCCCTTGTGATGACTGTGCTATATACTCAGAGACGTGCGTGACAAGATTGGCCTCATCCTAGCGGATCACCAGCCCCAAAGTTATGCAACAGACGACGCCCTGCTGCAACTTTGCGGGGTCTATGAACACATACGAGATGCATCCTGATGACAAAGCAAAGTACTACAACCTGAAGCTCAACCATTCAAAGTGCAATGTCATTTGCACAAATGCCGTCGGCAACATCCATTTTCGAAAGGGTAGAAGCCTGTCCAAGTGCTTAGCTATAGCTTGATGTCGGGAAACGTGTGCACATCAGCGAAGTAAGCAATAGAATTGCTTCGGCCATGGAAGCAGTGAACTTGGCTTTACCTATTGGACAAGTAACCGTCTTATTTCTTGGACGCTGCAAATTTATGACGCGAGGGACCCGCTCCTTCCGAGTGCTTGCGCATACGCTCGTCACAAAGGTCTCAGATATATTCCGTGGTTGGTTTGTTGCGGGTTACTGTTGGTGGCGCTTGATGTGCATGGCGAGGCCGATCGGCCGGAACGAGGAGTGGTTTTCTTTTCTTAAGGCGGCCCACTCCGGTTGAGAGATGGACCTTGTATTGGTCACAGACGTGTAAGGTGTTCTTGTGGTTTGATTGTCGTGTCTGACTGTTGACACGTGGGGGGCATCGATCGACAAAGATGACCGCCTGACAGGGCTGAGCGCCAAGCGGCAACAGCATTTTCAAAACCTCTTCGATGGCTCTTTTTACAACATTGGTATAGGGATGGGGTGTCCGAAGGACAAAAGATGAGGAACGACACCTGCGCTTTCATCACACGTGTGAAATTTTGATTTTATTCCAACCCTGCTCAGACTGCGCCAGGATGTTTTGCGCTCTGAAGGGTGTTTGGGGCCCGGGACCCCTTCCATCCCCACAATGCCGCTTTCAGGGGTGTTCGCTTGAATTTGGTAAAATGTCCAGAGGTGCTTGCTGCACCCCTAGCGTTGCATTTTTGCCTAGAGCTTGCAACAACTGCTGAAGAGTTCTTGACACTAGACGGTTGCTTTTGTTTTGCTTTGTTTACTTGATGTCCTTGTGCGCCGAGGGTGCCAAAACATGTCGTGGCATGGCATCGAAGAAGAAGAAGAGGAAGAGGAAGAGGAAGAGGAAGAGGAAGAATAAAAAACAGATAGAGGAAGAAAAAACAAAAACATATGAAGGAAAGAACAGTTAAAAAAACAAGAAACACCGTAGTCATAATAGTAATAACAAGAAGAGGAAACAAAAAACAACACACGAAGAAAACACACAAACAAAACGACAAACATAAAAGGACAACATACAAAAACCATGAAACATAAGAAAACAACACGCGCACGAGTTTCCAGCAAACACGTCGCACAAACATGTCATCCACGAGTGAAGAACATGAACTCTTTGAACCAGTGTCACGGAAGAGTGTCAAACACACCTTGGCCATTTGTGTATGCATACGGTGCATACGTGTGTGCATTCGGGCCCCCTGGCGGGTTTCCATCGTTCTTCTTGGTGGGGACCCTTGGGGTCCCCTTCGCATCCACGACCCGGTGCTGGATGCTCGGTGGGTTTGGGACCGAAGGTAAGCCGTGCTCGCCGTGTTGCTTATGAGAGCCACAAACAGGAATGACAACCACGGAACGTTGTTGCTCACGACTTTGGGAAGTCATTTGCCACCGAGCATCGCAAGTCTGGTTTCGCACGTGAATGCGGGCACAGTTTGGATCAGGCCATCGGGTATCATCACCCAGCGCACTCTGTGCAATAGATCCCCACCAAGCGGTAGACCAACTGTTTCGGACATTCTGTCACGAAACAGCCGGACAACTGTGCCAGCTACATGCAGGCGATGGTTGTTTCAAGTGTAGCGCCGTGCATGTCGCAGGTGTCGGTGTGAAGGGTCAGGGTGTGTTGGATACAGTCGGGTCCACAGTTTCAGCGCCTGCTGAGGATTCGGGTGGTGAGCTCTCGGTGGAGGAACTCTTGCCACTTGGAAGTTGCATAGGTGGCGTGGATCCATAGCATGACAAGAAGACACCAGTCCTCTGAAACAAGAGGCCTCTGAAACCAGTTGCCCCATTGCCTTGGAGATGGCAACTTGTCCACCTGCAATACTTAGTGTCAACTCATGTCCCAACCGCGTGCGCCGGTCCGGTCACCGGGTCTTGTCTCGCTCCGGTCCTCCCATCCGTCCCACCGGTCCCACCGGTCCGAGCGAGCCGAGCTGGTCACGGTGTCCGAGGAACGGTTTGATGGGTCTCCGGGGCGACGTGTCGAAGGGCGACATCGTCTCCATCCTGCTGCGCGTGCGGGACATTTGGCACCGGGCTTCTGGGCATCAGCAAAGGCGTCGGTTTGGCGTCCAGTTCTGAAATCAGTTCTCCTCAGAACTGGATGGAAGCACTTCCTTCATATGGGGGGGGGGGGTTTAGCAATCAAGAGTGCGCAGTTGCTTGAGAGTTGGGGGCGGGTGAGGGTCCTGAAGGTGACATTTCCCTGCGGCAGGTTTTGGGGAAATGTGGGTTTTGGGATGGCAGCAGGGCCTTTAGGCTCCCTCATGGATCTGATGACTAATTAGTGACTAATGATTAGAAATTATTAGGTGTTTTCCCTGAGGTGCCTTGGCCGTAGGATCCTCTAGAAGACTACTGTTGATGTTGATGGAAGAGATTCCGTATGACTTACAGCGCCTTCCTTCTGTCCGCCCGGTGTTTGGCGGGTGTGGCAAGGTTGAGCGGGTGGAAAAGCACCTGATGCAGTGACCGCCACCTCCACGCCTCGGATCTCAAGTACGAACGTGCATGACTTGCAGTGCTCGGTGTGGTTTTTGGAGTGATTGTAAGCACCGGTTGAGAATCAGAGTGAAGCGTTGAGAGGAGTTCTATAGCTGTTTTTGGTTTATGTTTGTGCTGCACGTTTTCGTCTTCATTCGCTGAACTGGGCTGGCCCTGACTCGGCCACATCTCGGGTGGAGGACGGTGAGGAGACTGCGGCCGACCGTGCGACGGCTGCCCGTGCCGGGCCGTGTCCATCACTCCCTCCACACGTCCAGGGTGCTGTGCCATGCCTTAGGCTGGTGAAAAAAACGGTGCCCTCAGCCGGTCTTGAAATTCAAGGTGCTTTGTGGTGGAGGAAGGATAGTGGCGGCAAACGTTCCGACTCCAGTGCCGACATGTGTTCCATTGCTGTTTTATTTTTTTCAGCAAGTCTCAATGGAGTCGACCATTGCATTTGATTAGATAATGCACATCTGCCAACCTTTCGAAGCCAGGCAGCCCTTGCTGCTGGGGTCAGTGGACACCCTAGAGGGAAGGTTTTCGAAAATCGAAACAACCTTCAGTTGATGGGCGTGTCTCAAGAAGCAAACGCTTCATGCAGGCCAGGCCTTTTGATGTCAATCTCTACTTCCACCATCTAAAATATCTAAAACCTATTCTATTCTAAGCAGCTATGATAGCTATGGGCGTTGCTTCAGTGCGACATCCCCACACATGACCGACACGAATCCCACCAGAAAGCTGCGCAGCCGCAGCCGCCATGGCGTCCTCTTCTTGTTGCGTCCTTTTTCTTGTCGGGCCGGGCGACGACGAGGTGACATGACTTGATGAGTCCTGGTGTCTTACCCAGAACTTCCCACGACTCATTTTACTCCACCCTGGTAGTCATATGTAGTCATAATCAACCACTTCCGGGTAACATGAGTCAAAACTTGGACTCAGGGATTAGTCCAAATCCAGGGGCAAAATCAGGGTGTTCCAGGATGGGCATTACTCTTCCCAGCCGAGTGTTGGTCCATTTTTTCCCTGCTTGCTGACCAAAAGAGTCCGATGCCCGAGCGCTTCAAAAGAGCTTGTCAACAAAGGTACAAGGCGGGACCCCCACCATCTTGAACCACCTCCCGATCTTCTTTGCGTAATTATTTGCTCTTCTTGGTGGTCAGGTGGTCGGTTCTGATCACCTCTCGATCCTTCTGACCGAAGAGTCACACCACCGGGGAATCGAACTCAAAAGCGAGACTGGCATGCCTGGCGGAGAAACAGCAGGCTCAAGCCGTGGTGTCCTTGAGTGAGCGCAGAAACACCCATGCACATGGAATGCACGAGAGACGGTCTAAACCAGTAGACAATTGAAAGCGCGGCAATTCATGTCTCTCTCCCGGAAGGCACCTACCGCCGCCTTCCCAAAGCGCCTCTGCCCAAGAGGCATGAACACATGGTTCTAGGACTTCCCACCTTTGACACGTGCGGGCGAGCATGTTACTAATTTTTTAAAGATCATTCCCGTAATTGATTATGCCCAGTAACCACGTAAACTCGAATGTGTACAGTGTAGTGCAACCAATCCAGGCGCCCAAAACCGGGCATCACCATGGCATCGCGCCAAAAAAAAAACGCTTCTCTGAACAGGGTCCTCTTCTTTTCGGGTTTCGCGCCTTTCCCGGACAGTCGCGGTCATCGTCCCGTGGGGGCACCTCCCTTCGTCCAAAGCCATGGGAAACGCCACAGCGACGGGAGGCGCAGGACGGTCCTGATCTCAACATCCGGTGGACTCGAGTTCATTGGATGGGTTTCGCTTTGGACGTTCATAGAAGCATCTCAGAAACTCATCATAAACCTTCAGATTCGGATTTTCTGATGCTCCAAATTGCCAATTTCTATCCAAGCTTCCTTCACTTCTTCCGAAGAGGTTCCTTCGATCTCAGAGTTACAAGACTTGACAGCCCAAACGCTTCATCTCGTTGACGCCGGTTGGCTCAGCCTTTGGGAAGCTGAACAAAACCCACCGCAGCGGTGCCCCGAAAGCGGCTGCCCGTGGCGGGCCTGCGCAACGCGCCAGGACTGCTCCAGAAGTACCGAGGAGGCGCGCGAGGTGACGCGCTACCGAGGTGACGCGCCAGATGCCTCCGGTTCAGGTGGCGGTCGTCCATGGGTTTTCTTTGAAGGTTATTCCATAAAGCTTCCCTTTTTGTTGTTCTCCACGCGGTGGCGTTGATCGCCGTGGAATGTGTCCCTACCTGAGAACTTCCGGGAACCAGACGGGCGAACTGGGCGCCGAGGCTTGCTCCTTTGCTTGGATGAGACTCAGAGGGTCCGGGGCGTAAGAAACAGCCGAGAGGGGGGAGCGAGCATGGTGAAAGCAACGAGTGGCGCACCCTGCATCTAATCAAAGAAGTTCCCCATGTCGGTTGAGCTGGGTGTGAGACTCACGATCCGGCCACGTGAATGCCCTCAATCGATTCCAGCCACAGTGGTTTGCTGCTGGTACGGTCCAGAAGCCAAGAATGCCACACATGGAGGGAAGCCACTAGTAACAAAGGGCATCGCTAGTAGATGCTAGTAGTAGCAAGGACGCTACTAGTAGCTCCTGGCATTACTACTAGTAGCAAGAGGCTAGTCCGGAGGGTGTAAAGGTCCCAAGCCACAAACAGCACCGTGATGGCTCCGCGGAGAGCTAAGATCAACCCCTAAAGGCCCTAAGTAGCCATGAAAGGAACACCCCAAAGTCAATAGGTAATCTGACGATGAAGAGCGAAAGGGCCACCTCTCGAGCCCTTGCCCTCGACACGTCAAAACGACCACGGGCCCATCGTGCACGAGATAGTAGCTCCCAGCATCACAGAGCCGGCATTCGGAGCTCAGTTGCAGGGCAAGGGCCACACTTGACTGAACCAACTCATGGAACCCAGACACTCCATGGGACTGCCATATATGCCTACATTGACCCCCCAAACCACCCCAATGTAAGCATATATGGCATACATATGCATACACGGAGTGTCCGGGGAAGTTGTTTGCAAACTGCTCCTGCGAACAACTTCGAGCCAACACGAATGTGGGTCGATGTGATTGACGCTGTAACACCAAATCAGGACGAGCACCGTTCAGTAGACCCCACCATGGCTGTTGCTGAGCTGGTTGGAAGAAGTGCAAAAAGGCCGAGCTGAAGAGGCGACGGACCACGAGACATCGCCCAGGAGCACCGGTTTCACCTTGAGTGTGTGTGAGAGATTCGATGACACCATGACGGGATGAGACTTCAGAAATGCGGCGAGCTCGAAAGCGCATCAAAGTCTGTCAATACATGTTACATCCCACACGAGCAGCATAGATCAGGAGCTCCAATTTCAATGTTCAAGATCCCCACAGCCTTCATGTCCTCATCAAACTGATGCAAACACGGTCCACGAAGACCTTTTGGCTGGATCTCCCAAAAAGGAAAGTCGAAAGCGCAAGGATCAGAAGCACACCAAAGCAAAAAGGTCGTGTCTGGAAATTCTGCCTGATGGTCAGCTTTCACGTAGCCTGGCAAGAAACACCCATAGAGAACCAACATGACCAAGGTGCCCAAAGTTCCAAGCCTCTTTCTGCTCCACACAGGAGGTGCTTTGGCCTTTCCTCAGCGTCGACGTGATCTTCTTCTTTCTGCTCAAGTGCTGTGATTTCATCGGCGGCGCATTGCGTTGATCAGAAGCTCCAAAGACCATGGACGTCACTCTCATCATCTCGCGCTGGATGAGGTGGGAGGAATGTGCTCATCCAGGAGGGAAGACACGCCGTCGCTCTCCATGGCTGCCCATACCCAATCAGACTGAAACCTCACCGCTTTGACTTAGGGGTGAGGTTTCAGGGAGCGGGTGTAAACTCTGGCACCTGGAAAACATGTCAACATGAGAATGTCTTCAGACTTGCGCAATGGTCCTGGTCGAAAAGTGCTGTTCCCTCCTTGAGCAACACCAAGAATCTGGAACACATGCCTCATCATTCTGCAAGTTACATGTTACATGTCTTATCATGTCTTGCATTAAAGCTCAACCTGTCGGATCAATCTCACAGCGGGCGCGCAGTGATCAAATCGTGCTTCTTCCAGAAGTGTGTTTTTCTTTCAGACATGCTTCATTTGAACTCTGTGTCCCACAATATCTCAAATAACCAGGAGTCCTGGAGGAGTTCCCATTGAAAACGAAGAGCAGGAGGCGTCTGTGCTTTGTCGGACATGAGGTCGTAGCTATGGAGAGACATGCACTGATCAGTTCAGTTCCCATTCAGAAGCTGAGCTGAAGTCCTAGTCCTAGGTGAAATGCATCCAACGCCCGGGCCCTGAGGGTGGGCATTGACTTGGTTTCAGATCAGCTGCGGTTCAACAACTCAGGTGTTGCATGGTTTTGCTTAGGGTGATGTGTTCCTTGGTTCCATCCTCGTTCCATAGCCAGGTCAAAGGGCTGGCTACACCGATTTTCCTCTACAACCCCGACGTGGTTTTTAGGTTCCATATGAATTTCCCAGGGTGTAGGAAGCAGCCAACGAGTAGGCAGAGGGTAGGACCCGGTGGACTCTGACTGAACCCCCCCGTTTGTAAAGGAAAGTCGTCTTCCAAGTGAGTGTGAACGTTAAGTTAGTGAGTCAAAGTCAGAGTGTAAATTCAAGAATGTGTAGGTCAGAATAGATCCCGCCGTAAACCAAGTCAATGCTCCAAGAAACCACTGGCCACACGCAAGAGTTGTGACGTTGACACCCGCCACATATATTGCAAAGATGATGGATGGATCAGCTGAGACCCGAAGCCAGGTCCTAAAGCGTCACCTTTCTCAGTTCCAAAGCAGTACCCAACAGTCTCCGGACCAAGCTCCAGCTGTGCCCAGTTCGTTCAGGCCAGACGGCCGCCAGCCGGCAAGAGCCGTCGAGCGCGAGACAAGAGGTGGGCCAGCAGACCTGTGAACTAATGCTGAAGATGGCGATGTGGTGGAAATATGTGGACATGTTCTTCCAAGGGGCTCAGGGAGGGTCTTCTGCTTTTTGGGCACCCTTCTTTTCGCGGCTCCGATGG